GGGGGGGGGGGGCGTGCGGTGCAGGGAGGCTTGTTGCCCCTCTTCCCCTGGACCACGGACTCGCGATCGCCCCCTCGCTGGGACCTGTTGCGCCTTGTCGCCCCTCCGCGGCCGCCACTTGCTTCGTCGATTCGAGAGAGCAAAGGGGCCCTTTTCCGGGGGTCCAACGCCTGGCAGATTCGTCACCCCCCCTCAGCCCCTCCCTTGCCCCTCCTTCTGTCCCCCCCCCCTCCCTTGCCCCTCGCTCACCCGCCCTCCGGCTTGCAACAATGTCGAGTATGTGTCCCCGGGCCATATGCCGAGGCTGACCCCCTTCGGCAACAAGACATCACGCATACTGCCTGATCGCCCTCTCTAACGCCGCCTCTCCTCTGTCTTTGTCTTCCCGCCCTCCTCTCCTTGCTTCTCTCTCTCTCTCCCCGCCCTCCATGGTCATCCTCCACAGCCATCACCTACTATGTCCATCAAACTACCTTGGGCGACCCGAAGTACCAGCGATTCCGCCGTGTGCGCACAGAACCCTCCGCTCCCCTCCGCCCTCCGCCCTCCCTGACCGCTCGCCATTGAGTGGGCGTTTTATCCCCGCGACTCATGCTAACGCCCGCCCCCCCCCCCCTGCTGATCCGCGGGTGGCTGCCGCCAGATCTTGATGTCCTGGCTGAACCAGCACCTTCGTGAGGACCGGGTCTATGTTCGTGACATCGTGGAGGATTTGCATGATGGTCAGCTCCTGGTTCTGTTCCTCGGTACGTTCCCCGACACGACCTCCCTGTGGACCAGGATCCCAATATCCAGCAGGATGGCTGACATTCCCTCGGATCTGCCTCCCCGTGCGCATGTGAAATGCAGAGAAAACCCTCCAGGTGGCCATTCACTCGGATCCGACTGGCCCGGTGTCTGACCGCGGTAAGCGCGGCAACTTGGCCGTTGTGCTGCGTTTCCTGCGCGAGCGCGTCGGTCTGGAGATGAGCCCGGACATCATCGACGGTATGTCTGCCCATTTACCTGCCCTCCTCCCTGCTCTCCCTCTCTCTCTCTCTCTCCTGGTTGCCTCTTCAACCCTCCTATATGACCGCCCCCCCCCCCCCTCCCGGGTAAAAAGCCACTCACCTCTCCCGTGTGACCTACCAGGCATCCTCAACAAGGATGTTGTCTCCATCTGCCGGCTGCTGGTGGCCATGGCGCACGAATTCCGCTGCCCCTACCAGCTGCCTTCGAACTTGGAAATCAGTGTCGTTCGCCGGGAGACTCAGCACAGCGGCACCACCCTGCAGAAGACCCAGCGCCATACGATCACCGAGGACGAAAGTGCCTGGGGCAGTAACGAGGCCACGACCGCGCTCACCGATGTGGAGTCCCGGAAGACCTTGGACTCGACTGAGCGTGTTTTCGAGCGCGATGCCTTCGATGAGCTGCTCGACCCGGGCGCTGAGGCCAAGCTGGCCAGTGTGCAGCGTGTATGTGGAGCTTCTTTCCTTCTTTTTCTCCCACCTCCTCGGTGCCTGCATGCCTGCCCGCCTGCCTGTCGATTTGCCCCGCCGGCTGACCGCCATCGCCCTGCATGACCATGTGTGCAGCTGCTCTTCCTCTTTGTCAACAAGCACCTGGCCCCCCTTGATGTTACTGTCACCCCGGGTGTTGGCATGCACTCCACCGGAGAAACGGGCTCCGACATCCCCGGCGGTGACATTGCCGTCCCCTTCCACGACGGCCTGTACCTGCTGCTGCTGATTGGGTCCCTCGGTGGCTTTTACATCCCCCCGTCCCAGTACCATTCGACCCCGACCACCGCCGATCAGAAGATTCACAATGTCCAACTGGCGCTTGACCTCATGGAGCGTCTGGAGATCACTCCTGGCGCATGGCACGCTCAGGGTATGTCCTGCCGGCCCATTTCCCCTCTTTCCGCATCTTTACGTCTGCACACACGCGCACGCACGCACACGCACGCCCACGCACGCACACGCACGCACGCACACGCGCACACACACACACACACACACACACACACACACACACACACACGCGCACACACACACACACACACACACACTAACATGCCGCCGATTTGCTTCCTGCCCTGGAACTTGTACAGCGATTGTCACTCAGGATGCCCGTGTGACCATGCGTGTTCTGTATGCTCTTCACACGGCCTTCAAGAACACCGTCACCCAGTGAGGCGCGGGCGTGGCTTTTAATACACAGATGTAGCCGTGCCCTCCTCGGAGAAGCCCCCGAAAACAGCTGCCTCCTCTCCCGACCGAGAACCAAAAGGCCCATGGACCACACGGCCCTCGCCGCCACCCCTCTCCCTCCCCCCCCCCCTTGAGAAAAACCGCCCTTAATATAAACCATAAACTCGACTAGATACCCCCTCCCGCTCCCGACGAAGAACAACCCCTCCCCCCCCATGCATGCACACGCCACATTTCGAAGCTCGGTGTATTTCTTCCCGACACATGGTGGCCAGGACAAAGGAGGAAAAAGAGGGGGAGGAGGAGAGGACCAGCTCGCGCGCCCCCGCCCCCTCCTGAAAGATGGAGGGACAGAGAGAGAGAGAGAGAAGGAGAAAGAGAAAGAAGAACAATGAGGGCGCGACAGGGAAAAGACGAGGTGGAGAGATGCCCCCCAAGACTTCTCCCCTGGGATAGGAAGCACACAAGGAAGAAGGCAGAAACAGTGGGAAGAGGAGGGGGGAGGGGGGAAGAGGAAAAGACAAGCTCAATGGCCCTTTCGCGCTCGCTCGTGCTCTGGGGCGCGCCGCGTCTCTCAGACCATGGCGGCCGACACCTGCCAGACAGCACCGCCGTTGAGTTTCCGCACGGTGGTCGCCGGGGCGGTGGACTCGCTGCTGGAGCCAGCCTCGGCCACGACATTAACCGCGCGCCGGGACCCGGACACCGCGACCTCGATGGAGTCCGAGATGCTGACCACATCGATGAGGATGGGCGAGGCACCGCGGCGCTCGCCGCCCACCGAGGTGGCCGTCGTCCGGCCGGTGGGCGAAGTGTGGAAGAGCAGTTCCGCCACAAACTCATACAGGGCACCGGGGTTGCCGGACACACCGAAGTCCAAAACCCAGTCGGACTCAGCCGTGCTGGAGGACGGCCCGGTGTCGAAGCGCACCACCAGCAGCTGATCCTGGCCGCCGGACACCGTGAGCGCCTTGACACGCTCCAGCGGAACGGCCGCATGGCGACCGGCCTTCAGCGAGCCGGAATCCAAACGGGCCAGGGCCGTCGGGGTCAGGACAATGACACGCTGGTCGATCTTGCCCGAACGGTTGATCTTGCTGGCCGGGGAAGCCACCACCACCCGGGCGCCCGGCGACCCGGGCGCCACACCGGCCGCACTGGATCCGGTGGCCGGCGGGGGGATCAACACCGCGCTGTCGATCTGGTCCACCGTCAGGCCAGGAGCCAGGTAGGACCGGCGGTGGGGGTGGTTCCATGCCTGGGCATTCCAGCCCTGCTTCTTGCCAGCCAGGAACCCATGCAGGATGATCTTCTTCCGGATGAAGGTGGCCCGCTCGGGGTCCAGAGTCTTGACAATGCAGCTGGCACGCCAAGTGGCATGGATCCGGCGCATGTACGTGTCGAAGCGCGCCAAAGCCGGCGAGTCGAGGGCCGGCCAGGCCACCCCGCGACCATAATCCGGCATGGTCTTGACATTGGAGAAGGTCCGAACAATGGCCATGGCATGCTTGGAGGCCTTGTACCCGCGGTAGACCATCTGGATGACCAGGGCCGCACGAGTGCGACGGACCCAAAGCCGCGCGCGCAGACCGCGCCACATCCGCTGAATGGTGGTGGCAATGGCCGGCAGGGCCCGGGCGCGGGTCTGCTCGAAAAGATCCAGCGTCCGCGGGGACCGAATGAAGACCTTGGTCCGGCCGATGCGGAAGTCATCCGAGCCGAGGCCCAGGTGCTGGCACAGCATGCGGCACTGCTCGGCCGCCGGGAGGTTGGCATCCGAGCGGCTGTACGTGTCCCGGGCACCGATCCACAGACGCGGGTGGAGCATCTTGTACCGGGCCAGCCAGCGCTCATGATGGGTACGGTAGGCGAAGCCGGCCCGCCGGACGCGCACATTCTCCAACAGACCCAGGTAGCGCGTCTGGTGAATGACCAGATCCGCATCCCAGAGGCTGGCCTGCTGACGGGCGTTGGGCTTCAAGCAGCGGATGTAGTTGGGCTGCTTCTGCTCCAGGTTGTTCACCAGCGCCGCCAGGGAAGTCTTGAAGGCGGTGCCGGCGGTGACCGGGCGCTTGGCGGCGCCGGACTGCGCCTGCGACGCCGCGGCATCCGGGAAAAGCTCCCGAACGACCGCCACGCTGGACGACCCGCCGAGCACACGCAGGTCACGCTGCAGCAGGTCGGTGTTCTTGTCGAGGAACCCCTGGGCATGGTAGGTGACATCGCCGGCGTAGTGGCGCAGGCGGAAGGCACCATGAGGCAGGGTCTTGTCCGACCGGTGGGCGGCATTCTCACGCGAGGCAAAGTGCGCGTGGTTCTGGTGCGCCTCGCTGATCTTGGTGACGAACGTGTCGTCGGTGGGCTGCCCCGGGCGCAGGCACTCCTCATCCAGCAGGGCGATGATGCCCTGCCGGGGCGCATCAATCAGCTCGCAAATGATGGAGTTGTTGAAATACTCCACCGGCTCCCAGGTGATCCCCTCGCTGGCGTACTCATCCTGCTCGGCCTTCAGGGTCAGGGCGATGAACAGCTGCTGGAGCTTCTCATTGCAGTAGTTGATGCAGAACTGCTCGAAGGAGTTCAGCTCGAACACCTCGAAGCCGTAGATATCCAGCACGCCGATGACCGACGGGGTGTCGTACGACGTCTGGGGGATGTACTGGATGCTGTTGTTGATGCGCGTCACCAGCCAAGAGAAGAGCCGGTCGTAGAGGCCCTTGGCCAGGGCGTCGCGGGTGTGGGTGGCCTGCTCGGCGGACGAGTGGGCCTGGACCGAGTCGCCGCGCGTGGCCACCGTGCGCTGAGTCAGAGCAGTGGCCAGACCGGCGGCGGTGACACCGAGCTTCTGGGCCGCGTTGTTCAGGGCGTTCTGAGCGAGTGCCGAGGGAGGGGGGCGTAGAGGGGATGGAGAAACACGGGTCCCGGTCAGTTACAAGCCAAAACCCATGGTGCAGGGGTGGATCGGTGTTCGCTCGCGCACCTGGGACCCAGCCTGAGTGCAGACAGCAGAATGGCCCTCGGAGGTGGCGACAAAGTTGATGTTGCCAATGTGCAGGACAGCCGCCACAATGTCGAAAGCCGAGGTGATCTCGAGGTCGGTGAAGCCGAGAATCTGCACCGCAAGAAAAAAAAAGGGACACCCGAGGGGGTTAGCGGCGAGGGGGGACACGTATGCGCCGCCAGGGGGGGGGGGGGGGGGGCTGGATCATTGGCCAAGGAAAGGAGCAGGGAGGGAGATGGAGGAGAGGGCAGGGAGCGGAGAAAGGACGGTGGCGAGGAACATACCCGCATGGCGGACTTGACAATGGTGAAGTCCTTGGCGTCGTTGATTGTGCGGACAGTATCGACACCAGACTGGTTCAGGTAGTGGAAATCGGCGGCCTTCGCACCGGCGCCCAGAGCACCGGACGACAGAACCTGGTAGAAGGCGTGGAAGTTCCGGTCGCCGGCGGCCTGGCGCACGACACGCGACTTCTCCAGCAGGTAGACGGTGATCTGCCCACCGACAGGGTCGCCGGAGCGGTTGAACTGGATATCCATGTACTTACCCTGCACAGGCCGGCCCAGGGAGGACACAGAGGGAGAGGAAGAGAGCGAGGAGGCATGTCAGAGTGAGCGGGGGGGATGGAAGGAGAAGCCGGGGATGGGGAATGTGCCGGCAGGAGGCCGAGCAGGGCGCTGGCAGGAGGCCGGTGAGAGGGACACATGCACGAAAGCCACATGGAACACGCACGAAGCGACTGGAGTTGTCATTGCGGGTGGTGCGGGCATTGCCAAAGGCCTCCAGCACAGGGTTCGACTGGAGCAGCTGGTCCTTGACGCGGGTGACGTCGGCCTCGCGGGCACCATCGCCAGATGCGGCGGCAATGTAGTGCATCACATGCTTCGAGGCCTCGGTCTTGCCGGCGCCCGACTCACCTGCGAGTGAGATGCACACATGCGTCAGAAGCGGCACATACACGGGGAGCGGGGCGAGGGGCAAGAGACGACAGGGAGGGCAGTGCACACGCACCGGAAATGATGATGCACTGGTCGCGGTTGAAGGTGGACATATCGCGGTAGGCGTCGGCCGCGATGGCGTAGATGTGAGGCGGCATCTCGAAAGAGTGCTTGGCCTTGTAGGCATCGATCAGCTTGCGGGTGTACATGTCCGGCAGGTTGCGGTACGGGTTGACCGACACAACCACCGGGCCGATGGCGGTGTAGATGGCGTCGGCCTGGAAGCGCACGCGCATGTTCTCGATGAGGGCCTCCTCGGACACGGGCTCGATGAGCACGAAGTCCGGGACACCGGGAGACTTGTCGTCACGCATGGCTATGGGTGTGGCAGGGGGCAGAAGGCGGCGGGGGAAGGGGCGGGGGAGGGGGGAGGAGCGCGGGAGGAGGGGGAGAGAGAGGGGGGCGGGCAGACGGGCAGTCGGGGGAAGGAGGAAGAGGCCGTGTGCCGGTGTCTGGAAAAAGTAAGGTGAGGCGGGCCCCCCGGCGGGCCGGGGGCCCGGTCACAGGCGTGGCGCAAAAACCGCCCCCTCCCCCGGGGGTGCGATCGCCCTCCCCGACGCGAGGCGCGTCTCCTCGACCGGGCGCGCATGCTGGCTGCATTGTGTGCGCCCTGCCCTGCCCCCCCCCCCTGAACCGGACGCCGGCCAATGCCCGGGACCGGGCCGAGGGGGAGGGGGGATGGGGCCGAAGGACGCCGTCGCGCAGGGCAAGGAGCAGCCCTCACCCGCACGCCATGGGGGCAGCCTTCGCCTGCACATGCCCGGCGGTTTGGCCAGCCCTGGCGACCGTCCGGAAAGCCTGGCAGAGAGCCGACGACGGACGAGGGGGAGGAGGGCGGCGGCGGGAGGAAACAATCCCGCCAAAAGGGCCCCACCGCACGGGGGATTCCCGGGCCAAAGGGCCGCATTTCGCCGTCCATGCACAAGGCATGGGTGCGTGCTGTGTACAGCTGCGAGGGGCGGTCGATGCGCGCGACGGATGGCGCACACACACACACACACACGCACACACACACACGCACACACACCACGGGGGAAGAGAGGCCCTGGCGCCCGGCCGCGCCCAGGCTCGCGCGGAGGCCCAGTCACCAGGGCGGGCGCACCGCGCGACAAGGACACAGGCACGAGTAGCACACGGGGCGCGAGGCCCCAAGGGCCGCGAGCGCCAGCAAGACACACGGGCCGTTGGGTGGGGCGGGGGGGAGGGGGGCGGGACGAGGTCATGGACGCATGCGAGGCGGGGAATGTGCCTGGCAAATTGCCTTTGCCAATATCTCCGGCCCGGCGGCGTGGGCTGCATCCGGGGAGCATTCGGCTGGCGGCATGGACCGACGCTCGGCCGCAAGTGAAGGCGCGTCCGGGCCCGGGGGCTTGGCCGGGCTCAAACGTCAACATGATGCCCCGGCGGGGTGGTCGGTCGAGCGGGGTGCGCCCCCTTGGCGCCGGGCGCCCGGCCCCGCCGCCGGAGGGAAGATCCGCGTGCGTCCACCCCTTCGCCCGGACGCCGGCGCGCCCACAGAGTGCGAGGTGTTCCGCGTCCCCGGCCCGGGACCCGGCCGACTCTCCCGGCAAGCTGGCCTGGGCGGAAACCCGGTCCGGCGGGGCCAGGTGTCCGGTGTGGGCGGCGCAAATGATTGGGCCGAATGCCGGGCCGAGGGTAATCGAGATTTCCCCCGCGTATCCCGGCGTGGTGCGCGCGTAAGGGCGACGCCCGAAGGCGGGTCTCCGCCTCCCCCCCCTCTCCCCCCGCCGGCGGGCCTGTTCTCCGGATGCTCTACGACGCGGCACAGGCTTCGGGCCCACGGTCGCATGCGCACCATCCCGGCGGGGAGGACTCTGGGGAGAAATCTCTCCGGGGGGGGGGGGGGGGGGGAAAAAAAAGGGTGCCCGATACACAAGCCCCGGGGGTGTGCCGGAATGTGGACCGATGGGAATGCGCAGGGCAAATTCCATTGCCGGCTCACACCTCGCGCGGGCTCGCTGGCAAGCGGGGCGGGCTGGGCAAGGACACCAAGCTGTTCCTGGTGTCCAGCAGAGGGGGGTGGGGGGGGGGGCCGGCCACGCCAGAAGCACGGCCTGATCGAGGGCAGGAGAGCCGCGACAACAAAGGGAGGGGTGGTTAAGACAGAAGGCCCTCTCCCCCTGGCACGATGGCCCCGCTGCCGCCCCCCTCTCCCCCTGGCATGGGAGGATTTTGATCCGGCCAAAGAACCGGGTCGTCCCCCCCCCCGCCGCCACAGACCCGGCCCAACCTCACCAACCCCCCGCTCCTCACCACCCCCCCACGCCCAGAGAAGAGTGCCGCCCCCCCCCCCCCCCCCCCCCCCCCCCCCCCCCCCCCCCCCCCCCCCCCCCCCCCCCCCGCCCCCCCGGCACCCCCCGGGGGAAGGGGGGGATAAAAATCCCCCCCCCACCCCCCCAACCCCCCCCCGGCCCCCCCCCCGCCCCCCCCTCCGGGGCCCCCCCCCCCCACCCCCCCCCCCCCATGTCCCAAAAAAGCCCCGGGCGCGCCCCCCCCCCCCCCCCCCCCCCCCCCCCCCCCCGCCCCCCGGGCACCGCGGGTGGAGGGGGGGGGGGCTGACGCACCCTGCGCACAGCAACACAGGCCTCGGACAAAGGACAAGCCGGCACGCGCGCCTACGCGTTCCTTCGTGCATCCACATGCCTGGAGAATGGCCGGCCCACAGTGCCTTCTGGGAGGAATGTCCGCCGAGCGGGGGGGGAATACGCCCGGCGGCCGGGCCGGGGGCAGGTGGGCGCAGGAGTACGAGAGAAGCCCAAGGCAGGGAGTAAGAACACGGTCCTGCTTTCCCCCCCCCCCCCCCCCCCCCGGTAGATCGTCATTGACACGGCCACAGGCGGCGCGGGCAGGATACGCCCGGGTCATGGGTCGGGGCACCTCAACGCCGTGCAAATCCAGCTCTCCAGCGGCACACGGCCCTCCTACGAGGCATCTCCGAAGGCCCCACAAAAAGGGGCGCGCGCGGGCGCAGGGACAAGGGGGAGGGGGCGCCGAACAGGGGAAACAACTCTCACCGAAGGCTGACGCCGCCGGGGGTGGCCCCGAGGAGAGCCAAAGACGCGTGGGTCCGGCCCGCGCCAGTTGACGCCCCTCTTCTGTGATGTGTCCCTCCTCCCCACCCCCCCTCCCCCAGGAGAGGCCTGGCGGTGCAAAAGCAAGAGGCGATTGACTGGTGCCCACACCGCGGCCACCGAGCCGTGCGGGGTCGGGCGAATATGGAGGCGCCCAACAGCACGGGAGACATATCGTCCCATCAGCGGCGAGTGGAGTTTGGGTGTGCCTGCGCGTCCGGGGCAGAGAAGGGACAGAGCGGACTCTCCGGGGGCCTTTTTTTTTTCTGCCAGCACAATGTCCCCCGCGGCGAAAATAGCCGCATATGGGGCATTATTATTACGTAAAATACACAACGGAACGACGACCAGCGTGGCTCGGCCCCGAGGCGACAATCCAGGGTCCAGGCACGTGGGATCCCATGTCACGGACCCGAAGAAATCACGCCAGAGAGCCGGACCTAAACCCAACCGAGGTCCGCGGCTGCCTGGCTCGCTGGGGGAGGCCTCCGAACGGACAACCATCTCTCCGTGTGGCTCCTCTCCTGCCTTGGAGGGCCTGATGGAACACCGTCCTTTTTTGCCCCGTCCGGGCGGCGGGAGCACTTTCCAGGCACCGCCGCCCCGCCGGCCCTCCCCATCTCCCCCCTTGTGGATCCCCCCCCCCGCCCCGGCTGAGAAACTGGCAAAGGGGGAAACGGGGCGGTCGCGTCTCCCAAAGCAGAGGCCGTCCCCCCGGCCCCCCCCCCCCCCCCCATGCGGCGGTGGCAGTGGGGGTCTCTACCGTGCACCTGACATGCTGCTCCCTTGTGCGCGTGCGCGTGCGCCCGCATGTGGGTGAGTGGTGTCTCGCGCAACCTACGAAGTAACGCACCAGCAGAGGGGCCGGGCTCGCATCCTTCCCTCGTGTGCGCATCTCCCCCTTCCATGCTCGGCCGGTCCTTCCCCTCCCCCTGCGGATGATATGGGGCCAGTAGAAATGGTGGGAGCAGGGGCGAGGGAGGTGGGGGCCGAGGGGGCTGAGGGCACGGTTCACGCCCTTCTTGGTCTCTAGGCTCTGTGGGGGGGGGGGGGG